TATTAGGGATGTTGAATATCTTTTAAGATGTTTCATAGCCATCTTTACTTCTTCTTTTGAGAACTCTCTTGTTCAACTCCATAGCCCATCTTTTAATTGGGTTGCTTTTTGTCTTCATTCGCTGTTTTTGAGTTTGTTATATATTCTGGATATTAAACCTCTGTCAGATGTGTCGGTGGTAAAGATTTTCTCCCATTCTGTGGGTTTTCTATTTGCTTCCTTGGTTGCCTCCTTTGATGTACAGAAGCTTTTTAGTTTAATGAGGTCCCATTTGTTAATTCTTACCCTGTTTCCTGAGCAATTGATGTCCGGTTTAGAAAATCCTTTCCTACACCTACATCTTGTTGGTTTTTCCCAATGTTTTTTTCTAAACAGTTTCAGAGTTTCAGGCTTTACATTGAGGTGTTTGATCCATTTGGAATTGACTTTTGTGCAGGGTGAAAGATAGGGGTTTAGTGTCATTCTTCTATAGGTGTAGATCCAGTTTTGCCAGCACCATTTGCTGAACATGCTGTCTTTCCTCCAGTGAATATTTTTGGCCTCTTTGTCAGATATCAGAGTTGCATGTGAACTGGTTTGGATCTTCTGTGATGTTCCATTGATCTATGGGTCTATTTTTGTGCCAGTACCATGTTGTTCTTATGACTATAGCTTTGTAGTACAGCTTAAAATCTGGTATAGTAATCCCCCTGGCATTGCTGTTAGTGCTCAGGGTTGTTTTGGCTATCCGAGGTCTTTTGTGCTTCCGTATGAATCTTAGGATGGTATTTTCCAAATCTGTGAAAAATGTCATGGGGATTTTGATTGGCATTGCATTGAATCTATAAATGACTTTTGATAAGGTAGTCATTTTCCCAATATTAATTTTTCCAATTAATGGGAAGGTATTAGTTGAGCATGGGAGGTCCTTCCATCTTCTGATGTTCTCCTCGATTTCTTTCTTTAAAGATTTAAAATTTTCATTGTAAAGCTCCTTCATGTCTTTGGTCAGGTTTATTCCAAGATATTTTATTTTTTTGCAGCTATTGTGAAGAGGAGTGTTTTCACGTGCTCTTTCTCTGATCGCTTCTCATTGGTTTATAGAAAGGCTACAGACTTTTGTAGGTTAATTTTGTTACCTGCCACTTTACTGAATGTGTTAATAATTTCTGGTAGATTTCTGGTGGAATTTTTGTCATCTCTTAGATATCATATCATCTGCAAAAAGGGATAATTTAATCTCTTCTTTTCCAATTATTACTCCTTTAATTTCCTGCTCTTGTCTTATTGCTCTTGCAAGAGTTTCAAGCACTATGTTAAAAAGGA